GCGGGGGGGGGGGGGGCAATTTATCTCGAGCGGCATCTCGAGACGAGACGTTGTCACTGCGAAAAGGTTTGTTTTCCTGGAGTAGATTGGATTGGATTGCTTTTATTTTCCCGTGGCCCTACTACCACTACCACAAGTTGAAGTCCTGTTACGGCCAACCGTCAAGTAAATTGAGTGAAGCTTAACACATTCCCCACGTCCATTGAAGGCATCTTGGCATAGACATAACAGCGAAGAAATTAATTTACTTCCCGCCCGTCGCACTAGCGATTCCCTCTTTTGGCCACCCCCAATGATCCCGAAGCGTTCGGACTAAAGAGAAAGGCAAAAAAGGTAAGCGATGGTTGTACGATTTACTTTGCGGTGAGCAGTCCCGCCAAAGTTTGAAGATTGTTGTGCCATTGTTTGAGCGAAAGAAAGGGAACCCGCTTTACCCAAGCGGCTCTTTGTTGCATGTTCTTTCGACGTTGACGATCCTCGTTTACGTGTTTACCGTGACGAACGTCGGAAATGCCACCCCCCGTTCTTCTGTTCCAGCGTTCCGCAAAGAACAAAGGAGTTCGCCGTTACTGGCGGCCACGCCTCCCACGAGTTCGCCATCGCCGGCTCCCACATTGGAAACGGTCTACTCCACCCCTATTCTAGTGTCCACCCAGCAGGCTGGCCTCGCCGAAGCGTTGGGTGAGGTAAGACCATAAGAGAGAGGCGGCGAGGGTAAAGAGAAAGAAAGAGATGCCATGCGGTGCCACGCGCCATGCCACGCCACGCAGTAATCTATTTTTGCGACGCTGGCGAGAACGGCGGGCCCGCGCAAGGTTCAAGCAGAAGATCCACCTGGCACCATGGGATCCTTGAGATGGGATGGGAAAATCATGGGATAGGTGATGGCCCATGGATCATAGGGAGCAGCACAGGAAGACCCCCCACAATCATCATGCACGTACACCCCTGCACTGGCACACAGCGCCCACCCACGTCGATCCAAAAGTCGATCCCCGCGCTCCGCTAGAATGACACATGATTGGTCTGTTGCGTCCGGACGGCCAGTGACAGATTGCTCAAAATAGCAGCGTAGCCGCCCAGAGGGACGGGACAAGGTGACGCTAGAGCAGTGATGCAGCTGGGGGAAATTCTACGATTGGACGAAGGTATTGAAATCATGAATTTCACACCAGAAGCTCAAGAAGCAGGCCGGACAGACGGCTGGTTTTTTTTTCTTTCTCTCTCTCTCGTTCAAATGACTGTTGTCCGGGGGAAAAACGCATGCGCTCGCAGCGGTGCATCTGATCTGGGCTGCATCTTGGGTCCGGAGAATAAGGCAGCATTCGGAATGGTTGATTCGCTCTTTCAACTCTCCAATCTGGTTTATTTCTGGAATTCTTATTTCTCGTTCTTCATTTTTAGGTACGGGGACGCGGTCATGTCGTGTGATGGAAGTGCAGTAGCTTCCATTGAGGCAACTCCGTTTCTGCACTCAACTTATTTGCCTTGTCGACTCTCGATTTAGAACTTGACTGAGAAAATGAGACTCCATCTCAACCACTCCAGTCTTATCGCCCAGGCAAGGTAAGGTAGTGAGGCAGCTCACCGGGCGGCATGAAGTCGTACGCGTAGGTCATCAGGTAGTTCGAGCTTAGCTCACCTCACCTATCGGGGACAACGGCCGACGGCTTTCTCAACTTGAACGGCCTGCCCTCACAATAATTAGTATGCCTCGGGTTATGGTGCTAGGTCAAGGGTCGAGAACGCGTGGTATGGCCGGCGGCTCGTTTGATGACGGGCTGAGATAGATGACAGGCGGGGGCCCTCTCGGTTGCTGTTTCCAGGTTTCCCCACCGCTCTCTTTCTTCTACTGTGTACGTACTTCTCTTTCGCAGGTCTTCACTCGCGTCTCCCACATTCCTTGGCAGAAAGCTCGTTGTCGCCTTCGCGTTGATGTCACTCCATGTCCGGGTTCTAGGTAGGTACCTGTGTGGAGGGGACGGGAAGGGCATGATGGAAAGGTGGTGCTGCGTGCATGGTATGCAAACTAAAGACGAGAAAACGAGGAAGATCATGAAACAAATCCTCGCTCGCCTATCCATAGCTCCCCTTTTACGCTGGTCTCTTGGCCGCCGTCCGCCCTCCCCTTTGGGAACCCCTGCTTCTTCCGTAGGTGTAGGTACCCCCTACCATGACCATGACCATGACCAAAAAGCCAGAGCCACGATACGCACGCGGCGCACCACGTCGTCCAACATTGTCATCTAGAAGAGACGGGTTTCATCTTTCTTTGGCGCTGAATGAGTAGCCCACGCACCTTACGTAGTCGACGGTAGAGTTTCCCTTGTCACATACGCCACGCCACGCCACGCCAAACCTTTTTTTATCCCACTTTTTTCGATCTACCTCTTCCATGTCTCCCATCATCGTGACCGCCGTAGTATTGTAGGTTTTCCATGCCCCTTTCTCACCACATCTCTATGCGACGGGTACCTCATGTGATAGCCATTGTGGTGTGCATTTCCAAGGTACCTCACCAGCCGGCATCTGCGGGGGGAGGAAAAGAGACGACCCATGTCCAAGGTACCTATTCGTAAGTGCCAGTGGGGTCAACGTCCGAGGTATCTCATCCACACCTCGTGTACAAAGTACATCGGCAGATAGCTGCTTTCCCCTTCGGGACTATGGGGGGACTTACACCAGAGGAGGAGGAGGCGGCGGCGGCGGCCACACGCCCACCTCATTCTTCCTCTTTACCCATAAGGCTGTTTTGAGTTGTATCGCAGCAGCAACAAGACGGGCTTACAAGGGGGGGTTCCTCCTGCATACGAGTGTGCTCTTCTGCGTCTTGTTTCAGATTTTTTTGGGTAAACCCTTTTAACCCTTTTTGGGGGGTGATACATGCAGATTGCCAACACGCCTGTTTTGTTGATTGATATAACATCATCCATCCTCCCCCCTCCTCCAAGATGTAGAAGATTGTTCAGCAGTAGTATTTTGGTGTTTGTGTTTTCTCAACATTCGCGCAAATCTAAGCCTGGCGCTCAGTGTCTCCTTATCACACTCTCTTCGAATAGTTCCTTTTTAAACTTGTAACTTTCATCGACCTGGCGTCACCTATTTCGGCTTTCTACTACTACTTTGTTCCGATCGACAACGGAAGAAAATTCATAACAAAAACCCACAACAACGCAATGGATCTCAAGAGTCGCATCTCGTCGCCTCTGGAGGCCGGCACCTCCATTCTCGATGTCCAGCACTTGCCGCCCCATCTCAACGAGGCTCTCGAGTACGCCTCCAAGCGCCTCGCCAGAAAGGCTCTTCACGTCACCCTCGTCGTCGCCCGCCGCGAGTACCAGCTCCCCACCCTCCTCCCTTCCTCCGCCGCCTCTTCGGCGTGCTCCTCGGTCCTCTCCTCGCCGACAATGTCGCCCGTCCCGGGCTCGGCATCCAGCACCTCCTCAGTCTCGTCGTCGTCCTCCCGCTTCAACTTCTCTACAAAATCGCCTGTCTCCTCCTTCAAGAAGCTCGTCCGCACAAACACCGGCTCCAGCGTCTCTTCCGTCTCCTCCGTCTCATCGGCCGGCAGCAACGCCCCCGAGAGCTTCGTCTTCACGCCCTCGTTCCTCATGGACACCAACGGCCCGAGGCTGAGGTGGCCTCTGTCGCCCGGCATCCCCCTCTCGCCGCCGCCCATGACGCCCTCGACGGCGTCTTCCACCATCACCGACGCCTCCGGCCCCATGTCGCCCAATCCCTTTGGTATCCGTCTCATCCACGCCGATCTGCTCACCGACAAGCAAGAGAGGACTCTGCGCCAGACCATTGATCGGGCAGAGAGGAAGTTCCGCATTGGGTACGTTCTTTTACTCCATGAAACTCCAACCCAGCCCACTAACACATCCTTCCCTCCAGAACTGAATGGCTTCCCCCGGTAGTAGACGGCTCCGCCTGCGGCCTCACAAGCAGCCTCATCCGCCGCTCCATCGTCCAAAACGAAGTCCTCTTCGCCTCAGAGGGCCTTACACTCGTCTCCCTCGACCGCCTCTACACATTCAAGGCCGCCCTCTCAAGCTACTCCCGCACAAACGCCCCTCTCCGCCTCGAAGACGCCGTCGACGAGCTCCGCCGTCTCGTCCTCTCCCGCGCCGGCAACAAGGTCGCAAAGGCGGACATCCTCCGCTCCTACGACTGGCTCAGCGTCACCGACGTCGCGCTCGCGGACGTCGACAAGATGTACCGCAGGGCCTACGGCGGCCCGGACAGGGTAGGCGCCATCGAGGGCGTCGGCGCCGCGGCGCAGGTGGCGAGGACGGTGAGGGAACTCGAGCGCGAGGTCGACGAGACGCTGGCTGGCACGGTAGCCGCAACGGACGACTTCATCCGCATCGCCAAGCCGCCTTCGCCGCCAAAGGGCCCCGTCCTGAAGCTGCAGACAAACTTTGACGTCCGCAACATGGTGGCTGCGCCGATGGAGGTCGCGGAGGAGGACGAGGACCTCACGGCCCGCCCGGAGCGTCAGCCGCCTGTGTCCATCTGGAGCCCCGTCTCCATCGCCGAGGTCCTGCACGAGGACCGTCGCAGCCAGTCAGGCCCGATGACGCCCAACGGCTACGATGATATCTCACCGATCACCCGCGGCGAGTGGGGTTTCCTCATGGGACCTGCCGGTGTGGGCGGCGGTCGCACTGCCCCTGTCATGACTTGCTGAGCGGCAATTTTGTCCGTTTTCTTGCTGCATTTGAATTATGTGAAAAAGACGTAGGAGCGGTTTGGTGCATTCTTCTGTGTGTGTGTAAGATAGTTTTTTTTCTTTTTTTCTTCAAAGTGTAACGACCTTTACGAGTACATTTTTTCTTCTGGGGATACCAAGTCGGGGCGATGCCAGACATCATGTAAATTACCTGCATTAAAATGGCAAAAAGGGCAAAAGCCCCTCAAGTTCAATCAAGAACACGAACATTTCTCGTCCATAAAATCTTTCATCATTTCGGGTATCATACTTGCGTCTCTTCTCTCTACCATCCATAGCGACTCGACGCCTCCTTCCTGTTGCTCTTCCCCTTGGCGAAGCTGTCCTCGAGAGCCTCGCGCTGGTTCTGCACCTGGTTAACGAGCTGCTGCAGGCTGTGCTTGCCCGGCGCGATGGCCCGCACGGGGTTGTGGATCTGCTGCTGACCCGCGGCGCGGATCTCCTCGTTGTGCCTGTACTCCTGGTCCGTGTTGAAGTTGATGACCCTCGACGCCGTCTGTGGCGCGGCACCGACGTTGCCGCCCTTTTGCCGGCCGAATAGCTCGCGCCTGGCTGCCGCTGAGAGGTTGAGGTCGTTGGCAATGGTGTCGAGGGAGTCTGACGTGTTGGGCGCCGTCGTTGGGGCCGTGAAGTGTGCTTGCGCTGCGTAGTCTGCGTAGCCGTTGTCCGCTGCTGCCGGCTGATCTGTTTCGAAGAGAGGTTCGTATGCGCCGCTGGTCCCTGCCGTCGTGGTGTCTGTAGATGTCTCTTCAGTCTCGATGGAGAACAGGGAAACCTTCTTCGGCGCTGGTGCCGGTGCGGGAGCGGGTGCCGCCTCTGGCTGGATAGTCGCAGTCGATGCGGGTTTTAGTGTCGTAGCTCCTGGGGGAATAGAGTTCACTGTCTTCTTCTTGGGCTTCCTGGCCACGGAGAGAGGCTTGAACATCATTGGCTTTCCCACCAGCTTGACCTCATCCGCAGGCTTCATCCCCTCTGGTATCGACGGTTGCGCTTGGCTTTTGGGCGGGGGCAGACTGAGCCCGCCGGCGCCGGAGCCTGGCAGCCCATCCGTATCTGATCCTCCTCTTTCTCTGCTGAATCCAGGTTCAGCCCCTGTTTTGAGTTGGAACGCCGGCCGCGACGAAGTGTTGCTGCCGCTGCTTTGCGCCGAAGCAGCCGCCTTTACAGCAGCATTCTTGGGAGCTGGGAGGAAAGAGTTGAAGCCGCTGAATCGACCACCCCCGTTTCCTGTGCGCGCGCGCTTCGCTGGAGGTTCGTCGTGAGGGAGCGAACCCTTCGAGGCTTCGGTTTGTGTTGATGGCAGACTGACGACGATCTTGCCTGGGTTCGATCGGTCGACGACTTTTTGGAATGGCTTCTTGCCCGTGGCAGTGGACGTTGACTTGGAGACGGTTGGCTTGACAGGTGCCTCGTCCTCTGATCCTGATGATTCTGAGTAGTCGACCAAGCCCATCTTCGCTAAAGCTTAAGTCGTTTCGGTGGATATGGATTCGAGGTAACAAAAATGCGTTGATCGCAAAGTGAAGTGCTGAAGGTCAACAAGGTGCAAAGTGCAGCACTGCAAGGCTGGTCGCCTAGTCCAGGACCGTGCGTCATTGTCGTGCACGAGCCACATCTTCAACACTGCTGTTTCACAAGGCTGAGGGAGGTACGACTGCATCTCGCAGCTACCCCTCGGCGGCCAGTTGCTTCCTTCTCCTCACATTTCCCACCAAACTTCCTTTGCCATTCTGTGAGCTGAGCTCGCAATTATGTTCTTTTCCCGATCGCGGGCGTGGCTTCTTTCGATCTGACAGCCCATGGGATGATCTGTTGCTGACCATTTCCTTTCATTCCCCGTTGACCGGTAGCTGCCCATTATGTCGGTCATTCAGAACGAAGAGTAAGTGGACATTACATTCTACAGCAGAAAGGCTTTACTCATTGTTACTTGAACAGGCTAGTTGCGTATCAGCTACGCTGTGGATACCTCACTGAGATCGCCGATGGAGTCGGAGAGCGACTAATCACCCTTAATGAGGGGTTCATGAACTCTTCGGCTTTCAAGGCGGTCGCATGGCAAGCCAACCCCGATCTCGTCAAACGATGTTATTCCCCTCCGATTCCAACCGCGATTGCCTCCGAGTATTTCCAAGCGCCACGACAGGCTGGAGTAACCCTCGAAGATGAGCCCGACGAAGCTGGAATGTTGACCGGAGGAGGCACCGATACGCTTGGCCCGGGTCTTGCTACAAGAAGAAGGAGACGGCGGGAAAACTTGGAGGATGACGATAGTAGCGATCTGAGCGATGAGAGTGATGACGACGATGCTGGCCAGCGAGCGGCCCAGCAAATTAAGTTCGCCAAGATGCCCGTTCGATCGAGGGCCGGCTCCAGTCCGATTCAGTCATCGCAAATCAAGCAATCCCCAGCCATGTCTCCTCGCGCAGCCCCTGGCGCACGTCGAGGTTCGCAATCTGCGTTGGAAGTCGTCAAAGAAAGAGCACGGAGAGATACAGTGACCAGCAGTGAGGTTTCATCCGAAAACGAGTTTGACGCGTCAGGGTTCCATAAGCAGCGAGAGGCTGCCAGAGCTGCCGCCAAGTCAGTCAAGCTCCAGGCTAAGATTCTGGAGGAACCTAGCCTTGGAATCAAGCGCGTTGGCACGCAGTTGCTACCGGAGGAGGAAGAGGATGATTCCGACGGATCAGACATGTCTGGCGCCTACATCGAAAGTATCGACTCGGCCTCTATTCTGGATGCCGTTGAGAACCCGGAGCCTCCCCCGCACAAGCAAGTCGTGGGAACGCCTCCCCGAGAGTTCACGAGAACCTCGACTATTCGGAAGTCGCAAGCGCCACCTCGGATTCTGCAGGCTCTACCGCCGCCTCGTCCCATGAGCACGATTCGACCCATGAGCATGATCCAACCCAAGAGTCTGCTTTCTGCCGCTCTCAGGGCTAGAAAAACAAAGCCAAAGGTTCCTTTCGAGGGATTTGCAGCGCTTTCTGGCCAGGGCGAGAACAATCCCATTGCTGTTCGCATCTATGCTGCCTTCTCTGAAAGCCCTACCAAACCGTTTGAAGTTCCCATCAGACGTATGGTGCATCATGGCGAGGGTGGTGATCGGCCCGTTACTGTGGCAGATCTCATTGGCCTGGCACTCTGGAGATACAACGAGGAAAAACGACAGCCGCCTATACCTACCGATAAAGCCAACATCAACTGGTTCACGCTGAGAATGGTGGAAGAGGACGGAGAGGTCGATGATGACTTCCCGCCCTTTGAGCGCAATAAGGCCTTGACGTCTTTCACCACAGCAAATAACCGAGCTGCCGGAAGAATGCGAGCCAACTCCAAGACTTATGATAACTTTGGATTGGTCCAAGCGAGTCAATCCGAATACGCCGAAAACCAGAGCATCACTCCACAAGAGGAGGAAGAGCCGGCCGAGGAAGTTGACGAGGACTTGACTCCGCGCAATACTCCACAGCCGAATCTCAACTCATTCCTTCCCGTCGCCACAGAGCCGCGCCCGAACCCCGTCACGAATACTACGTATCGTCAACAGCATAGTATGTTCGCCGACGCACCTCAGGCGCCAGCCGCGGCGCCCAACACGAGCCGGGGTCAACAGAAGCTTTTGCGTGTACACCTCCACTCGACCGATGTGGCTCCCGGCCAGCTTGTCACCCTGGACACCACGACGGAGACGTACATGGCCGAGGTGCTGGACATGGTCTGCCGTAAGAGACAGCTGGACAAGGCCAATCATGTCCTCAAGATGCCTGGCGGAGGCCCCGTCATCTTGCTTGACACCAAGGTCGCGGCAATCGGTAGCTTGTCGGATCTAGAGCTGCATCGACGCCGCTTCGCTACAGATGGCCCACTCGCCATGACTGGATCCCCTGGCAGTGCTTCGCCGAAGCTTCTCCCCTTTGTGGGCGATCAGCCTGGTCGCAAGTCCAAGAAGCCGCATATCATGGGAAGTCACCCGCTGGCTCAAGAGGCCATCAAGCAGGCAGAGCTTACCAGTGCATATCACAAGGCTTGGGTCGTCTGGCGTTTGCGCACCGTCCGGATGATAACACAATCCGAAAAGCGATTCGAAATCGATGGAGAGTACGTGCACATCAAACCCACGACGAGAGATTCCAAAACGACCACGGCGCATATTTCTCAAGTAATTGGATGCAAGGTGTCTAGCAAGCACCCGAACCAGTTCAAGGTGAGTTGGCACGCACATTGCCCGGCGGTCTGCCGCATGGCGATCATAAGCTGACTAGAGACTTCAATAGCTGTTCATCTATCGGGACACCGAGAGTAAGCGCTACGACTTCGAAGCCAAGTCGGTGGAAGAAGCGCATGAGATCGTCAACGAACTTAAGAAGGGAGTTGCACAGGTTATGGGCTGAGCACCTCGAACACACTTCGCATGATCTGATGCATACGGGTTGCATCACGTCTGAGCTGTCTTGTTTCCGCCACAACACTACGCCACGTATACACCGCCACACACACCAACTGTCCAGTGACGTTGCGGAAGAAGCGGCCTGGAACATTTGGATGGGCTGAGTGAAGATCCACTCCAATTGCTGACTTCAACGGGAATTGGTTGGTCGGGATAAATCCGCCCTCCGTGCCGCATGCCGGACACGGTGATTACGCGTCACCGCCATTGGGGGGTGGCCACCCTCGCGCTGCTTAAGGTAGCGGTATTTTAGCAGGGGAAACTTGCTGTCACTGCGGACTCTTCGCCTTCTTCACCACTGGGGAACGAGAATTATGTAATATGTACCACGACCGGAGGAGCCAAAGAGACAAACAGAATTGGGCCCCTTGAGGTAGAAAATGTGGAAAGGGATGGAAATGGGGATGGTCAGTCTCTTTCTAGGTGTGGGGTACATGTCCAATTAAGGTTCGCATCCTGGCTTCTGCGTCATGCAGATCAATACGATTGGAGTCGCGGGCCGGGATGCTTGGCGCCGCGGTCGCGCTCCCTGCTTTGGTCGGGCTCGGCAAGGCTAGGCACATTTCGGTTATGAAGGGGAAGTCTGGTACACCTGAGGTCTGGACACAAGGCCAGGGAGAGAGGATGATGGCACGATGGATGAGCGAGATGAGGCAATCAGCGGCCAGGGAATTGGGAGAAGGGGGAGGGGATTGTCGGTACATGAGCTGATACCTTTTCCCTCCTCGCGGTAGGTATGATTCCCCCTTCTCCGGCCCTATCCTCTTCCTCTAATGCACTTCGAGTACCTTAGACTAAGCAATCAAGAGAACGTATTTCAAAAGAACTTGAAACGACGGAGAGGCGGCCGCGTCAAGGCTGACTGCCTCGTCACGCTCATCTGCATCTTCTGCCTGCCTGCCTGCCTACGGAATAGACTGTTTCGTCAGGCTGACACAGCAGCCTCCGAATCCTGATTCGCGGTAGTCTCCCAGGTGAGGCGCGTACAACATATGCTTATTGTTATGCCTGGTATAATTACATGACGCCACTGGGGAGGGCGCGAACGGTCGGACAAAGCCCCATTTTATCCTCTAATCCATGGGTGCAATCACCCGAAGACGGGGAGAACTTTGAGAGAGAAGACCCGAATTTTTGATGATTTACAGATATGTCCCGTACTCTTGTTCAGTGGAACGGTTTCATTGACAGGACGAAGCCTCATTGATCTTCTGTGCGCCCGTTTTTGCCTCGTCTTGCACATGCAAAGACGGTACGACGGTGGCCAGGCGGCGGGCAAGCAGGCACAGGCAGGAAGAGATGCAGAGTAGGTAGAGCTGAGGATGAAAGTTCGAGGCTTCGAATTTTGAAGCGGTTTGAGCCATCTTCGTTCTTGGCGGGGTCTCACGTGTCTCAAGGGGGGTGTGAGGTAGGTCGTACAATACCGTTCGCGTTGCCAGTGCCAGTTGTGCCACACGATTTTCAGTCGGATCACATTCCCGCGAGCAAAACTTCTACTTCTATTTTGAGGATCTCCTGATGTTTCTCTGTTGGTCCCCGAAAGTGGAAACCCACAGGAGCACACAGTAGGTAGCAGACATTCACGACATTGGAAACTCGCAGCGCTTGTGCCACCTCAAAAAGAAGAACACGAAGACACCGAGGGTCATCCGGTTCGCAGATTGACTTTCTAGCCTGATTGCCGTGGGCAAAGAAAAAAAAAACCTTCTGCATTGACCTCACCTTAATCCGAACTTTCAAATGAAAGAGGCGACGGCGCCGTCACCCAAAAAGAAGTGTGGTTTCGAAACGAACGGTAGGTAACCTCCATCCATGGCTGTTGACATCCTGTGACGCAATTTGATCCTCTTTCCTCTTCCTTTCCGAGCCATGGAAGTTCGGGGTTAGGAATCTGCTGTTACTGCTTTGGATTCGGGAACACGCCCCCCCCCCCCCCTCCCCCTCCCCCCTCCTTCCCCCCAATATGCTAGCAAGGCTGCAAACAGATACTCATTTCCCACGCG